TGGAGCTCCACAACCACAGGAGCTGGAGCTCCACAACCACAGGAGATGGAGCTCCAAAACCACACGAGCTGGAGCTCCAGAACCTGAGGAGCAATGCAGTCAAAGCTCATTTGTAGCCCATGCAGATGCTATCTGGGCTGGTTGTGTGCCATGAGCATCTGCTGCTCCGCCAAGCAAGCAAAGCCCCAGCGAGCCATCAGATTCCCCCTAAATCTGGTAATGGGAYGTGTCTACGTTCATATTACAGCTGGCATTTATCACAGCAACGAGCAGCAGGAGGCATTTTTAACATTAGCTTATTTGAGAAAAGGCAGAAGCTGACGGAGCGGGTCACGCTCAGAGCCACCAGGTCCAGCAGGGACCAGTGCCACCACTGCAGAGAAATGAGGACACAACTCTGCATTGGGCGGCTGTAGTGCCGGCAACATCTACATTTGGGATCTCCTTCATTCCCAGCAGCTCCATAATGGTCCAAACCCGGCACTGATCAGTTGCCCAGTTTTCTGTTCTGCAGTTCCAGCAGTTCCATCACTTTGGACCGCTGCTCAGGTGCAGCATCGCCTGCAACGTGGGCTCTTCCCCGCGCACCCCTTCTCCAGCAAGAAAACCTCCCTCTGCACCCTGCAAGGACAACTTCTGCTCTTCTCCTGCAATATCTTTATCCCTCATGTGTTGCTCTTGATGCGCAAGACGGTCCCCTGCACGTGTCTTCCCCTGGCACCCCAGGAAATGGGCCCCACGGACGCCAGTGCTGCTGTTATTTGGTTTTCCACATCCTAACTCCACTCCAAGCTGCCAAGGCCAATTTGGACCCTGCTAATACAGCGTGTTGGCTAAGAAAGAGGTATCTCCCACTGGCAAGAAACAGTCTGAGCCTGCCATAAAGCAGAGCACTTGGAAGGGAGCCTAAGGCTCTGATTCCCTCGGATTACGGAAAACAGCTCTGTATGAGACATTTTTTGCTGATTAGTGATTTTTGTCCAGTKAATTCCTCACTATTAAGCATGTGTTGTGATGAAAACACGCAAGCTCTTCTTCATCTTCAAGCTTTCCTTCTCCATCACGTTTCAGTCCTTGAAGGTACTTTGATATCTACCTTAAGCTGTATCTGACTGGATTTAAAGAAAGCAGCAGTCTGTCAAATGTCTTGATAAGGTCTGGATAAACCCTAGCTGCTCTTTTATTTGCAACCAAACTATCCCAAAGTCAGGTCCTGGGAGAGACCCCTGCCATCCTCGTCCAGGCTGGAACTAATGCAGCAGTTTAAGGTTTCAACAACTATAAATCTGCATAAAGGCTGCACTAAAACTTCCTTTCTTCATCTAAAACAAGAGTATTTGTAGAGCAAAGCTTCATACATGGTTCTAGTGAACAGAATAACTTCAGAAATGCAAATATGCTATTTGAGAGAACCACAACTGGTGGTTAAAGCACTAAAAGCACAATTCCCGCTATATTTTTAAGAAGGAAACTATCTGGCCCCATTCCCATCCCAAAGTCCCCCCAGTAGCTGAATGCACGACGGAGGAGCTCGCGGGAAGGCAGGAGCCTGTCCTGTTGGAAAGGCCTCGGCAGGGTTTGTATTAAAAGAAGGAATGCTGGAATGAATGGGGCTCTGCTCTCGCCAGGCTAAAACGTGGCAGGGAAAATAAATAGTAAACAGAGTGTGGGAGATGGCTCCTAGCCATGGGCCTTGTTGAGGACAAGGATCTCAAATAACCTCCGATGTCCTTCATCTACTGTGTCTTGCAGCAATGCCCATGCGGAGGAGCAGGGCTTGGAGCAGGGCTTGGAGCATGGGCTGAGCCACGCGCTCCGGAGGAAACGGTGGGAAAAGGGGGCTGCAAATCCAGGGAAATCCACTGCTGCTCGGCATGCAACACAGCTCTCCTTTTATAAGGATAAAGCAGCAAAGTATTTATATATCTATATAACTATATATCTATATATTTATATATAGATATTTATATCTATATATTTATATATCTATATATTTATATATATATATATATATAACTATATATATATTTATATATTTATATATTAATGTATTAATGTATTTATACATTTATATGTATTATCCCTATCCATTCAGAATGAAACCATTTTATTACATGCTAGTAAACTCTTAGCCATCCTATGTCCTGTGACAATGCTCTGTTGAAGCTCYGTATTTTCACCTCTCGAAACCTGGGTGCTTTCATGTTTTATTTTCTTATCTTAAAAGTGAAAGACTTCGAAGAAAAGAGCGAGCGCTCTCCTTCTCAGTGACAAGTGCACCCGGGGGCACTCATGGCAGGTTTGCTTCCCTAAACCTGTGCTTATGCCTCTTGCCCCTGGACTAGGCAGGACTGATCCCAGCTGCGCTGGTTCTGGGGCCGGTGCTGGGGCTGG